ATATGTGTGTATTCACATCATTTATGTTAATGAGAGTGTGGGGAGTGAGTTGGAGGGTGGGGTGGGCTGCTTTTAACTATGTAAAGCACTTTGTGCTACATTTTTTTTGTATGAAAAGTGCTTTATAAATAAAGATTGATTGATTGATTGATTGATTAGGGACTAGTAAAGCGCTTTACAAATACAGGCCATTTACCATTCAGCAAAGCTGCTGTAAACTCTCACTAAAAAACATATATTTCCACAAGTGCAACAAAGTGAGAACACGTAGCATGAGTCTTAAACATTTTATTATTTTTGAGACTCATATGTCATATGAATATTTTTAGTTGACAAAAATAGTTTTGGGCCTAGCACCGGACCTTGAGGAACTCCAGATTGTATATCCATGCAGGTTGATTTGTATTCATTTATATCTACAAATTGCTGTCTCATCACCCAATTCAGCACAAACTATCTAATACCACACTTTTCCAGTTTGTTTAATAATATATTGTGTCAAAAGCATTTTGAGATCTAGAGGTATTCCAACTGCACACTCTTTATTGTCTATAAAATGTTTGAGTTCTTCAGTTAATTCCAGTAATGTCAAATATGTCGATCTGTCTTTTCAGAATCAATAAAACTACATGTGAAAAAATTGGAAAAACAAAACAAAATGAAATATTATGCCCACATATATTTAACCATACCAATTTAGCTGCAGTAACATTAGCTTACCATATCCCCATGATTTGTCTTCAAGGCCAATTAATTTTAGTTTTCACTAATGCATGGTTATTACAATTTATCTGTCATGATAGGCTGTGTGCAGGCAGGAAGGAAAAAAAGGACCCAAAATGCAGGACACTCAACGATGGGACTGGAACTCAAAACACAGCTTTTATTGCTGGAAAAACCTCATAAAATAAAAGTCACAAAAGCAAAACAAAACTCAACTCAGAACAAAGGAGCTGGAACACAAACACACAGCATTTAGAGGGTACAACGCGACACAGGCAAATACAGGGTTTAAATAAATGGCATAGTAATCAGGGAATGAAAAACAGGAGGGAGACAGCTGGGTGAAATTAGGGCTATTGAGTACTTAAAGCGCTGCATACAACATGCCTCATTCACACCATTCATACAATCACTTCTAAGATCAAGTGCAATTTAACCAACATTCACACTCTGATGAATGCATCGGAGAGCAACTTGGGGTTAGTAACTTGCCCAAGGATATTTGGCATGCAGACTGGGGAAGCCAGGACTTGAACCACAAACCTTCCAATCAGTAGCTGATCTGCTCTACCACCTGAGCCACAGCCAAGAATCGGAACATAAATCATAATACAGATAAACACCAGAATATAAAAAACAAAAAATGCTGGGTCAAAATGACCCAGAACTGTGACATTATCTATTCTAACCATTCAGTATGAATAAAATAAATGTTCATAAATGTTCCAAAACAATGTTGTTGGCTAAATTTAAAGTTGGATAAGTTTAAAGTGACCTTTTTAGCATTTTTATAATTTATATTTCCATGTATTATCTTAACACAGGAATGGTCATTGTAGAGGCCCCAGGGACTCAAGTTTGCTATCAGTCCACGCCACAACTTGCATGCAAACTTGAGGAGGCCACAGACAGCGCAGGCTGGAATCTAACCACAGGGAATCAGCGCTTTGAGCTCAACGACGGCAGTGTGGTCCAGCTGAATAAGATCTGTAGCACAAATACCTTCCAATCTTGTATTGGTGTTACCCTCAACAAGGTGACAGGCACTTGGGAAGGCAAGTGTTTACACTTTTTTCTTGATTAGAGATAAAACATCTCTGATATGAAATCAGTATACAAAATACACTTAGTTATAAACTCACACTAACAAGATAGTATAATGAATTAATCCTGTGAAGCACTTCCTCTGAACAGATTTGAATATTTATTTTCTTTTTTGTGATCGATATTTTATTGATTTTCAACAGGGATGAGGGGACAGGTCAAAAAAACTGGTTTGATCCTTTGTGTGGGTAGCACAATGGCACAATGGATTTAAACTGTTTGATCAGCTCTGCTCTGAACCTGTTCATAACAAATAAGAATCTGATTTTTTTATAAACTTGCATTGTAATATTTTTGACATATATTGTTTATACTCTCAGCGCTGTTTCCACTATGGTCAGTAATATGGCAACTGGTGGCTCAGCTCCTGTCATTTCCTGCATGTGTTGTTAACTGAAATGTCAATTAATGTGTAAAGGGCCAACCCTCCATTATAATTGTAACTGTCTTATGTTCCCTGCAGGCACATATGAGTGTGGATTTACCATTGGGTCAATCAGGCACATAGGCAGGATTTATCTGAGTGTGGCCCTCCTACCTGATACAATTACCCTGAGTAGCATGCCTCTTACTGTGGACTGTTCAGAAAATCAGGAAAGTGTAAGCATTACCGTCAGTGCCATAATCCCAGCAAGCAATACAACCTATGCCATTTCGTGGGGCTACAATGGTAATGTGTTTCGTGATGTAAAAATGACAAGTAAGATTTTTTCCTTGAATTTTCAGTATTCTAACAGAAACAAATACATAGGGGTTTTTTTTGTTGTTTTTTATTTATGTCATTAAAAACACTCAGATTAATCAGTAATGCAAAATATGTGTAAAGCTTACTGCACAAAATCTTTATTCACTTAAAAAAAATGTCATCTTCTGTTACAGCTTCAAGCAGTTACGTCAACTACACATTCAATCCTGCCATCCTCTGCAAACAAACGATTGAACCATATGTTAATATCAGTTTTAAGAATGTAATCGGTCAAATTAAAAGTGCACAATTGAACATCCCAGTTATCTATGGTAAGGATTCTTTAAATTGTCTATTATTTTAAATACGTTTAAAGGGGCCTTATTATGCTCATTCCAGCTCCAGATTTCTATTCTACTATTATGCCAGGGGCTGGTGCAATCTTGTCTGAAAAACAGTTCCAATAATACCACCTTTCTTTTAAGCCAACTTTCAACTGACTGGCTACCCAATATTCAGCAATATATGCCTGAAATGTATAATGGGTCTACTTTAATCTGTTTATTGTAAATTTCATGTGTAGTATAATGACATATTCTCAGGCTTTAGAATTGCATATGTTTGCAAAGGCCTATGCTGCACCAGCTAATGATATAAATATAATTAATAATATTATTTTCTTTTTCCTAATGTTTTTTTTTTTTATTATTATTAAGCTGGGAAGCCATTTTGTAAAGAGGAGCTACTGGATAAAGATACATGGCCAAAAACCCCAGCTGGAGACACAGTGATTATTCGAACATGCCCAGCAGGCACGGTTGGCTATAAGTCCCGACCTTGTAACGGCCCAGCCTGGCAGGCAGTGTTCTCAAGCTGCGTCAGTGAAGAATTGAACAAAATTTCAAATGCAGCTGAAGTGAGTGTGTCTTTATTTGTCATTACAATAATACGTTTTTGTTTGCTCTCGTTTGCATTTGTGTATGTGTTTCAGTATTTTTAGTTTCTGAAACTGCAATGATAAAGGTTTGTAAATTTTCATCTTAGTTCACCTTGACTTTAAAGTTCATACTCTCAGCTCTCTGCTGAGGCTAGGTCTCAGTCACACAGGCCTAGAGACTGGTCGGTGACCACTAGTTGCTACGGAAAAAGTGTATTCCAGTATTAAGTAGTAACTGGAAGTTTGCTGACGGAAGCTAGAGTGAATTGCTTTAGTCACCAGCAGGTTCCCACAATAACCAGTGGTTTACAGAATAGATGCTAACTTGGCTCCAAATACACTTACACAAACCAGAAACTGATAAAGTATTCCTTACTAATGCAACCAATACATTTCAACTCAGTCTTCAGTTTACTGTTTGCATCATACTGTCACTACGACTAAGAGAATAAAATGGTGAGTGTTTGACAGACAAGTTGGCATTTTTCATGTAAACTACAGATATCTGCTGGCAACTAATCACGAAGAGGTTTTTGTTGCAATTTGTTACCATTTTCACCCAACATTATAAGTAAAATTTAATAAACTCCAAAACTAAGCTATATAGATCATACCATTTAGAAGGAGTATGGTCAAATCTGGAGCGATTTCAATTACACAGCGTAGCATATTGCATATGTAAAACTACTGCTTTGTTTAATGTTTTGCATGTAACCCATACAAATCCAAATGTAAAAGTATGTCAAGACTTTAAAATAAAGTGTCTGTTGTGCTTACTGTTGTGAACTATAAAATAGAATTATAGGATTTTTCTTTTCTTTACACACTAATTCCTTTATCTAGGCCTTCCTGAAGGGACTAGGGGCCACCACGGAGGTGGCCAAGAATATATTTGAAGGGCTAAAGAACAGCTCTACATTAAGTTCTGGATCTGGTGAAAGTATTGCTGACATTAGCGCCTCCATCGGTGTTCTAAATATGATGGCCGACGCATCAAACACAACTGTGTTGGGAGAGGATATCTTTCCTGTAAGCACATCTACCTTTTCTGTTATACATACATAATTCTGAATATAAAAGTTCAGACTTCATTTTAGAAGTAGAAATTCAAATAATCCTCAACATATACTCATTCTACATTCTACTACTCATGTCACGTCAAGATAGTTAGAGGAATAATACCAATAATACAACACAATGGAAATAAGTCAATAAAAATGTACAAGTACCTATTCTGCAGGAAAAAATGTCCACCAACTGTATAATATGGATTAATATGGCAGATTATCAGTTTCATCAGTTTAAATATGTTACATTTTCTTTAATCTACAGTAAGACCTTTAAGAAATAATAGAATAACAAAAGAATTGCTAAAATAATGTCCTTCATGACTCTGTGATGCAGCTAACTGTCAATACAGCAACATATAACTCTTTCTAAACATGTTACTTGTTCTGTTACTAATTAGCTAACATAAATGATGTAAGTCTATTAGCAACAACTAACCAAAACAGGGCTCTGTAGTGGAAATGACCCTTTATACATGTAGTTTCTCTTCCACTTTAAATTTCAACAACAGACCATGCAGTACTTAAAGATCCTTGACTGTACACCCAAGCGGATTACGCCTGAATAGGGGTCCTAGCATCAACTGAGAAAGTGTGAAAAGTCACTGTTCAGTCAAATAAATTTTTTAAGTTTATTTTCTATTTTACTGTCTTTCAGGATTTTGTTAGTGCAGCAAGCAATATGTTGAATGGCACCTGGAGTGGGGTAAATGACACAATTCGTTATAAAATGTCATCAAACTACCTAGAGTCTGTGGAAGGTCTAGTGAAGAACATTAAGGTCAACCAGAGCGACGGAATCAACAGTACAAATCTAGACCTTACATTCTGTCGAAGTAATGACTGTGATGTGTCTGTGTTTGACATTGGTGTGAATATGAACAAGACCAATGGAATACTGAAAACTGTAGCTGTGAAAAATCTAATGAGTAAATTAAATAACAGCTTTAATGGCATACAACCTGAACGTACCGACCTCATATTATCAGCCACACTGGACAATAATAGTGATTCAACTATACAAATTAGACTGGACTTCCCCAGTGGGAAAACCAACCCCACTCAACCTCACTGTGTCTTCTGGAACACCACAAGGAATCAATGGTCAGATGAAGGATGCAATATCAGCATTTCTGATAAAAACCACACAATATGTGAGTGCAACCACCTAACTGCATTCTCTGTCCTAATGTCCAAGGGTGATGGAGGAAAACAAGATCCTATCCTTGAACTTATTTCAAATATTGGCCTTGGTGTGTCCATTTGCTCCTTGGTGATCTTTCTCATCATTGAATCTCTGGTGTGGTCAGCTGTGGTCAAGACTAACCTTTCTCATTTTCGGCACACAGCTATAGTGAACATTGCCACATTCCTCTTGCTTGCAGATTGCAGTTTCTTGGCTTCTAGCAATCCCAAGACTTTAACTGACAGCTGGTGTCTAGTACTGACCATATGCAAACACCTCTTTTTCTTGGCTATGTTCTGCTGGATGCTGTGCCTGAGCATCATGCTTGTCCACCAGCTCATCTTTGTCTTCAGCCCACTGAGGAAAAGAGTTTTCATGTTCCTCTCCAGCATTTTAGGCTATGTTTGCCCAATCCTAATGGTGGGATCCAGCTATGTGTACTGCAAATACACCAACCAGGACTACTACGACAGCAAAACATGCTGGCTAGTTTATGTAAAACTCTTGGTTGGCTCCATGCATGCTTTTCTCCTGCCTGTGGGAACCATTGTTTTGGCAAATCTCTTTTCCATGATTGTTGTCATCGTTACACTGATGAAGACCTCAGTCCCTGACAGCAGCAAGGCCGATGACAAGGAAACGGCAAAAGGCATCCTCAAAGTGGTGATTGTTCTAACACCTGTCTTTGGAGTGACATGGATTGTTGGCTTCATTCAACTCATCATGTCTGATAGCCCCATCTATAACGTTATCACCTACATTTTCACCATCCTTAATACCTTCCAGGTAATTTGAATGCACAGTTAGCACATACCAAGCAAATTTACGTAATAATTATTTCAAAAATGTATTTGATGATCTAAAACATTCACAAATATGAATAAGAAAATCAACAATGGACAAATCTCCATTTCCCTCTATTATAGTTTATAAATTATAATTGTCTTTTTTTATAATTCTTTTTCTTTAAAGGTTATATTTTTTTGCTTTTCATTGTTGATCAATTGTAGAAGTAACATATTTTAAAACATTCATTATTTCATTGTTTAAAAGTAAAAATAAAGCCATGTATTAAAGTTGAGTTAATTATCAATATCCAAGTTTCTGATGATGATCAGAAAACTTCATTCAATGGCAATGCACAGATCTAACTTTCCCATTGGCATATAACTCCCTTAAACTCTTGTCTCTGCTGATAAAAACTGCAAACCTGATTCAAAAGGAAAACCATTGTGTCTTTTTAGACATGTTACGTATTTTTTCTCTCTTCCAGGGTTTTTTTATTTTGATCACAGGGTGTTTTGCAGAGCAGAAGGTAGGTTTAATCATTTTAGTGGAACAGATATCACTCTAGATATATTTATAAAAAAAAAATTGATGGTTAGAAGAAAGTGTTTAGTATTTGCCATGTACTTAATGTATTAAACAATTTGTCTACATTGTTACTATCAGGTCAGAGAGGAACTGTTCAAGCTCATAACTGTAAGCACAACAATGAGATACATACAGAATTGCCTGATAAAGTGATAGAAACATGGTTGATAATACTTCTGGTCTCTTCCCTCAGGGAAAATCAAAAGGAAATGACAGCACAAAGAAATTCACTTCAACTACGTACACAAAAGACCACTGAAGATGTAGGTCAGTTCTATCTATTGTCCTTAACAATATTCCTTTAATAATGCCAAATTTCTATCTTGAAACTTGGTAGCCCACTGAACTGATCAATCCTGAGTGATGAGAGATCCTTCAGTAACTAAACTCGCATTTTCAGGGTTATATCTATTAACTGTTGATGGCTGCTGTAAACCACCACACAAATACAAGTTGTTTTGTGTTTACAAAGTAATCTATAACAAGGCTGAGTAGCAGGGTTGCACTTGTACTCCGGTGGAACGGCATAGGTTGTGTAATATCAACATACTAGCATGCTTAAAATGATAACGTTGGTGTTTAGCAGATATCATGTTTAGGGATAAGGGATAAGGTAATTACAAATAATTGCAACAATTTAGCCAAGAAAGAAATTGTAATTTTGCCTTGATTATGTTGGATGATAAACATTTCATGGATTGCCAAAGTTATGAACCCTGTTTATTTGCTTTATCTAAAGTGTGGAAAAGACACATTTCTCAAGGTTTTGCTTTTTTTTAAGCAGCAGAAATTGACATTTTGATTTCTGGGTAACCCAAACTGAATAAAATGAGTTATTAAACCATGGTCACACTGAACCTGTTGAAACAATATGAATACTTGTTTTCTGCTGATTTTGTGATCACAATTTGAATGTTGTGCTGTTTTTCACGAGGCTCTCGTGTCAAACAGTTATAGTACCCATATGGTTAGCATTACTTCTTCACCACATGGAAGCAGAAATGATCTTTTGTGAATTAAAGTTGAGTCTTAAAAGTTTTATTTATTTGCTTTTCAGACTGTGAATCCTGAACTAACAACTCGCCTGTCCAACTACCCCTCTACAGGAGAATACAGTTAGCATTAAGTTAGTATGTAGTTCATTGACATTTACAGTGCGTTGTTTAAGGAGATTTAACTAAATGTTGTTTATAATCATATCATTATCTATAGTTATATGTAGTTTTCCTAAAAAGCAATAGAACCCCTGTCTAGTTATTATTTATGACCAATTAGAAGTGCATGACAGTGTCTTTATCTCCAGAGACCCTGCCTTTCTTATTTATTCTTATTTTGCCATGTAACTGATGTTTCTTGACTGTAACACATATACAGGACAATAACAGCAAACAGGACGAAGAATGCACTTCAGCTGCATTGACAGATAGTGTAAAACATGGCTGTACCTGCCAGATGTAAAAGTGAGGCTTGTCTTATACTTTTGTTTGCAGTCATTACTAAATGCCGTCCTTGACATAAATGACAGCCTGAATGGCAAGGGTTAGGGTTTCAGTGACTCGTTTCCAGTCATCTTGGAAATCTAGGTCATTCTTCTTGCCAGAAAAGAGAATTTCCCACGATATCTACATCAAAACAAGTTTCATGGTCAGTTCTACCCTTCACTCTTCACATCAGGCACCAAAATGCCACTCAAAAGAATTATCTTAAAGCTTCAAATGAGATTTCAGGAACCAGCGGGTAACATTGAACATCTTTTATACTGTCTTTGGCTGAAGTGAATCTGGTAGTGAGTTTGAAAATTGTGTTTGCTAGCAATAACCAAAAAATGTAGCATACTATACCTTTAAATAGAGCATTGTTGTCAATGATTAGCGCTAAGGTTCCGATGATATTTGTACATGACACATAGTACTTCTAGCTATTCTTCTTGCTATTATTATTAGCTAAGGTTGGTAGATTTTGTCAGTTATCTTTGTAGATGCAAAAATCATTTGTTTTCTTCCATTCCAAGTAAAATTAAAGATAACTAACTGTGTACATCTTCGACTTAACTGGATTTTGGATATTAAGTAGACCAAGAGTGCAAGTGCTCACTGTGCATAGAACAAAGTAAATGCTTTAACAAGTCCGGACTTGTTTAATGGTTGTATTTAAGATGAATTACTGTATATTTAAATTTATGTTTGGCGTGAACTATAACCTGTATACTATCCCTGTGTGGCCACTGTATGTATCTGAAATCTGTTCAAATAAAAATAAATAACATTCTTTGAGTGGAGTGGCTCAATTTACTCCTGGTCCTTATATTGCTTCTAATCCTGATGCCTAATAGAAGGTCCTTGTTATTTCAAAAATCAATGGAAAGGTTTATGTGATACAATAATCTTTGCAGGTGGAAACATTCACAATCCATCTCCCTCCCAAATGAGCCCTAATATAACAAATTTACATTTCAAAGTTAAAGTTTCAGCTACATTACACTCCAGTACTGATGACAGTTTTGATTTCATTAATGAACAAATGAGAGAAAATGTCATCCACTCAAGTGAAAGTTACTGTGGTCTTCTGATAATGAATACAATAACCAGGGTCAGCACTACTGTTCCTGTTATGCCACCAGTCACAGCTGCCAGGAAGCTTCTATCTATATTAAGCTTCTCACACATCTTTCCAGAGTAGTATCTGGTAGTGATACCACTGATTTCCTTTCCAATCCGATACCAAGTAATATTCAGGGTGGTATCGACGATACTGATCCGATACCGATACTTTGTACAAAAACGTATTTTATTTATTGTATCTCAAATTATAGCATCATAATGATTACAGGACATCAGATTACTTGTTGCAGAGTTCATCATATAGAAATAAAAAACTGAAGTTGTGGCTATTTGAACACCTTGCCTGCCTGCAGCACTAAAGGACTCTGTGAGAGATGTGTGTCTTGCCCTAGCAGCACCTGACCCTCTCCTCCTCTTCAGTTCGCCTCAACATATGCTCGTCATATTCTGTGATATGATTTACTCTGAGGTGTTTGACAAGGTTAGTGATGTTGCCACAACCATACATGCCAACCCTCCCGATTTTTCCGGGAGAATCCCAAATTTCAGTGCCCCTCCTGAAAATCTCCCGGAGCCAC